CGTACGGTCAACGAATTTACCAAGGTTCAGCGGCGTGCGGCGATTCTCATCAGTGGAGCCTTCAAATCCACCAGTGCGGCAGCTCTCAACGTGGAGCTGTTTATAACACCAGTTCACCTCCTTATGGACCAAATCATCCAGGAATCGGCAATCCGAATCCAAACGGGAGCCACATGGGCGCAACCAGAGTGTCTACGTCGACAGCGATCCCCCGGGGAGATTAAAAAGGGGGGATGGAGCCCTCTCGAAGCCCTCAGATGGAAGAAAGACGGCATCCTCGACCCAAAAGGAAACGTGTGTGACTCGCGCAAAGCGTTCGTTCTAGCGCCATGGGAGGCACGGATCCCATGCGCTATCGACAAGGATGCAGAGGCTGCGCGAGCCTCGCATGACAAAATTGAGATGGAATCTCTTCAACAAGCCGCACTAGACCGAACCCCGACGGTCTTATTCTTCACAGATGGAAGTGGGTATGAAGGCCAGGTCGGCGCTTCAGCCGTTGCCCCGCGTGAGGGCGTCTTTCAACGGCGATATCTTGGAACCAGTGAGGAATCCACAGTGTACGTTGCCGAGCTCAACGGCATTGAAATGGCGGTGGCCAAATTCGCCAACCAGTATCGAAATAACACAAGGCTCATTATTTTCTCCGACTGCCAGGCCGCTATCCAAGCGGTGCAAAAGCCCAAACGATCATCGGGCCAGTTGGGGCCCTGAGAATCGGGGAAGGCATCCCTTGGCTATGCGGTAGACGAAGCAGCGCACTTCAGACCTTCTATCTCCACGCCAGCAATAAAGATATGCATCTTCATGATGGAATCGCTCATGGTGCTCTGCAAAATGTCCGTACCGTGTACGAGCTACTAGTATCCGCTTGAGGAGATGGCGTGGGAAGCGTAGTTAATCAGGGCACCAGGGTGAGGGGGTGGCCCAAAGACCGTGGTGGGACTGCAATGCCACAGATTGCCAGTCCTTTGTAGCCCAGACGTCAGAGCAAAGTGAGGCAACGAAGTAAGCGGGGAAGTCATGGGGCTCTAAGGCGGCTCCTGTTCAGCTGTCAGAGAAATGGGCGAACGAGCTTGTCAAAATTTACTTCCTGATAATCCACCCTGGACCTCGGGTCACCGGGAAGGTAACGTTTCTGTGGCAATTCAGACCCTACTAATCAACCCCTAGCGTGCGACCAGGACCGCGGTGGATGTCCGTTTTGAACATTGTATTTGCTATCGCAGGAGAACATTCCGTATTACTGAGTCATCCTTAGGGAAACTCCGACAACCACAAAGTGTGTTTTGCCAATGCTTAGCAGCTGAGTATTGGAAACCTGACGTTGGTGCACCATCCTAATCTATAGCAGGGCAGGTAGAAACCTGGCTGCCTTTTTCTTCTGTCCATCGGTCAAATGGATAGGTGCATTCTTTGTGTCGCCATGGTCACTGGCCATTAGCAGCATCACTCAGTTCGCTGACATGTGTAATTCCAGGTCTTCGCGGATGATTATTACGGCAGTCCGATCTCGACTAATCCTAGGGCTACGCTATCTAACCGAGTCCACTTTCATGATTATGTATCAGAATAGCTGATAAGGGCTTATAAAAACTCGTGAAACTGTTATGCAGTACTTCAGTCACTCCTTTCATTCTTTAGGCTAGCCGAAGTACTCCCATTTAGCCGTGTCTTTATCGAGCTACGATAACTAGTCTACCAGCAGTGTGACTAACACCGCGATGGTCATGATGTAATGTGACCTTGACCGCACACTCGCTGCTTCAGGGTTACATTTCAATAAATTTGGCATAGTTTTCGTTAACATAGCCGCGTGCGTCCAAAGAGTCTACAGCCGTCCTTCTAAGCAAGGGTCTAGTGGTCCTAGGTATTAGTGGAAGGCCAGGTTCTGTGGGAAGAAGTTCTAGTGGCCGGCCCAAATGACGAGAAGTAACAACCATATAGCCTCTGTAGCAGAGCCAAACCTCACTATAAAGGTTTCAAAGAGGGTTCTCTACGCTGTATGAGAGAAAAGGGGCCGCCAAGGACAGATTCGCAAGACGAGGGTGACAGCAAAATACGGAATGCGTGGAAAGAAGCTGACACATTAGGGGATTTGGTCTGAGGGAGAAACTAAACTGTGAGATTTATGTGCAAAGTGCGCAAGGTGTTTGTTCCAAAGGCTCTGGCAACTCAATTGAATCATACAAAAGCAAGTCCAATAGAAGTTTCCTATCGAGAGAGGATTTTCAACGTTGAAACGATCGGATCTACCTCTATAGAGTATGTCGGTACCGACCTCTGGAGATGGTATAGCTATTTTATTATCAGATACTACCTTGCATTGAATAACCTCGGTACTAAAGGTGAATAGTTCTACTTGCCTGGTAGTGAAAAGCATGTGAGCTCACCGTAGACCTTTGTGGCACTAGAGGAAATATCGCTCATCCGAATGCAGATACATGACTTTCAATGGTGCTTGATTATGTGAACCTTGCTAAATTTCAGCCATTTCCCTTGGCTGATCAATGAGACACACGTTTGCCTGATGAAAACCTAGTTGTTCCATGATGCGGGTTGCGACCATACGTCATCAAATGGTATCGATTTAGACTATAGCAAGATTTCTGGCAGTGAACAGTATAAAAATAGGCTGAACTCTCATCATCGTCTAGGTGGGCCTATGTATTCCGAGTCGTTGGTGTATCTTAGCTGAGCATGAAGGTGCGTATAAAAGATCCTTAAGTAAATAGGCCTCTATTAAATTTCGCAATATAATTGACAGGTATAGAGACAATACATAGGAAGAACATCGCCTATTACTAAAGAGATGTTTTCTATCGGCTGCCTTGATGAACTTCCCTTCGGTTCCGGTATGGCTAAGCCACGGAGGTCAAGCGAGCCTATGGTCCACAAACATGTGATTTTCAAGGATCCTTTAGAAGAAGTCCGCTACTTTTCGTCCGTCGACCTTCCACGTGCCGATTCCGTGAAGATTTACCAGTCGAACCAGGTTACTATAAAAAGACGGTTCTCTCATTTATCAGGCTGCAAGAAAGATTAGCCCTGCATCGTTAGCCACTCTCTGCTATATACGGATTCCACACTTAGCAGAGCCGAATGAAGTACGGGGATACGACGAGTACGGAAAATGTCATAGCTCTTGATTCCCCCTCGCGATTGACAACAGCAGAATACGTAGTTTAACTCTGTTTAGGGAGGCTGTATTATGTGGCTATCGTTCAGCACTCAATATGGAAGCCGCAAGGATCGGCATACCCACGCCACTAACCGCCACGCATATATATACACGCTACCAGTAATGGCATAGAACAGCGCGATCATTCACTGTTGATGCTAATAGATCCTAGCAATTAGAAGGAGAAAATATAGAGGCGTACAGACGTGATATTGTATAGAGGTGGAATTTAGTAAAGGCCTAGGTACTCACTTGAGGTGGAGTGCTGAATATTGAGACGCTGCGGCTGATATGAAGATTGGAGCGTATCCAATGTGTCATCGATTATTGAACGAATAGATAGGCGAGACGCAAGAAAAATCTGCAGGTCTTTCCATATTTTCGATTTCTTGTTGCAAACGGCTTAGTACGGTCGGGTCTAAGGCCAGCTGGATATTGGCAATCAAACCCGAAATACTTCTGGCATAAATCCATATGGCCAAGACCGCAATGTGTAATTGCTGAGACATGGAAAGTCGCTGTCCCGAGAATTTTGGAAGACTTACAGTAGCTACAAGGACTTTCAGGAAATTTCACATCATGAAACAAAGAGCAAGCACAGCGCGAGTAGGCCCATTATCTGTGATGTTCAATTAGGGCCTCATCAAGATCGGCCACAAGAAGCTACCTTGTTATAACACCTGGGGGTGACTTACACAGACTTGACTATGGAGCCATTTTGACCGGTTCCGCTACATACCATGCCTGTAATTTCAACGTCAACACTGCCACAGCATTGGAAACGTCACGTCAATTTTGATACAGTAATGAACATAGCTTTCAGGGGTGAGGAATTTGTCAGGCTTGGGTTCGTTCCAGGCCTGGCCAAAACCCTGGGGGGGGGGGGGGGGGGGCATTGAATGGATAAAGTTGAAAACAAAGAGAGTTTTGCAATTAGGGCAAGATCTTCGCCAAAATTCTATCAATGACGGGCATGGATATTTACCGTCAGCTTTGAAGTGGCACGTTGGGTCAAGATTGGTAGTAGACAGATCGGGCTGCCAACATAACAGAACTTGCATTCGATAGCTTGCATTTCGACCAATAGGCTTCGCCGCCGAGAAATTGGAAATCGGCGCTGTCGCACTGCGAGCTGTAGTAACTGTTACAGTGATATCGCCTACTAGCCGAAAGGTAAGCGGGCAGGTATCATGTTAGGAATACTAATGACCCCTGACTATACACCGGCCTGGTTACTTGATTGAGAAAATCAAGGAGTACACAGGTACACTCTGTCAATGGCTCAATATTGGTTCTCAGAATTACTCATCATAGTGGAGTGAGAGTTCAAATCTATTTTAGATACCGAGTAACTTCGCCTCTGTGATTGTAGGGGATAAATATAAATGGAGAGAGACATGAATGCAGGATAGAATATTCAGCGACCTAAGCAGATACCCTTACTAGGGCTGGTGGGGCGACAAATAAGTTTCTCTTACTAGATCTGTTTAACCGGTAGTACTAGCTTGCAGTCGCGATGTGGGAGGATAGGGTCGTGCAGTCTCTCTAGCTGAAATGCCTGTAATTCTCTATCAACCTTACCTCACCATCCAGTGGGTCATGTTCAATACAGAACTCGCAAGGAATTGACATTACAGGTGCTGCTCTAATGGGAAAGTCCCACGTACTTTTCTGTTATAGCTGGTACTGTGCTAAAATTGGATGTTAATTTCCCTAGGACCATTTAGTCTATCGGCTTCCTTCGGATGAGACAATGGACAATTGAATCTCTTTAAATGATAAGAAGAGAACAGTGACCTCCTCTTGGTATCTGATCAACATGTTGGGCGATGCTGAGTTGGGCACGCTGGCGGCTGGCATTACTTCCCTTTCAGCAGAAAGCACTCATTACAATGACCAGCTACAGGATTTGCTAGAGAGATTCAGAAATGTACTAAGGGACTACTCTGCTATAAGAGACAAGTTTGAAGAAGCAAAGAAGACACGGCAATTGGAGAAACAGGTTGTAAGATACTAACAGGCTCACCGGGACCGATTCAGACGCGAGACTGATGGATAAACAGGACAGAAACTCGTTCGTGTTAGTGCTCTTGGATGCAGATGGCTACCTTGTGGGGTTTTAAGCGCTCTCAGGGATAATATCATTCAATTAATTGCGCCAAAGTTTCAGAATCGCTACTAACAACGCGGAAGCGAAGGAGGAATTGATGCGGCACACGAGCTACGTGATAGAATTCGTGATCTGATGCTCTCCACTAAGCAAACACAACTCCAAGAGTGTCAAATTATGGTTCGTGCGTACGCAAATGTCCTTGGACTTTCAAGTACTTTGGCCCGAGCTGGGATTGTGCACGATGAAGCCCAGGCACTCCAAGAATTCACCACAGCCTTTACACGAGGGCAGGGCCTTTTCGACTTTGCGGATGCAGGGACCAAGAAGGAGAGCAGTGACTTCAAAAAAGGGGTAGGGAAGGCCAGCTCGAATTATAAGATATAAGGCTGAGGGTATTTGCTAACTACGAGTTTTTGAATAGGAATGTTTCCATTATTCACTGGACTTGATCAGAGCCACCATATCTATTTTTGCGGATGCCACGACGTCTGGTATCTCTCAATGTTAACTCCATACAAGGGCAGGAACGATCTTATTAGTCTCCTCAAAGCTGGTTCATTTCATCGAGACTTCGAAACTTTAGACCTTTCGATTGAGGAGCTGCCTTCTGTATTCACGTCAACTCCCCTAGATGCTAAAGACAACAAGATGAGGTTGGAAAAAGGCAACCCGTTTCGTCTTCCAGCAATTTCGCCTCAGCCGCTGGCTGAGGAGTCACAGAAAGTATCAATGCCTCAAAGCTATGATTTGGTTGATACTGACATATCTTTTAGCGCTTGGATGGTCTTTGGGAAAATCGATTCCACAATCAGCTTGCCAGAGGCTCGTCTTCTTTCGATATGCAAGACGCTTGCAAGATCTACATTCCCAATTCGGTGGCCACTAGCCATCTGGATAATTTGTTCTCGGTTAACCTACTCGGGGAACTTCGACAACAGAAGATTTTATACCACTGAACAGGCATGGAAAGCGTCTCGATTTCTTCTGCCCAAGCCCGAATGCATAAGCTCTTGCAGAGTATCGCCAGAGAGTTGCGAAACAGAAAGTCTGCAATAGCTACCAATTTACTAGCAGTTGCAATAGAAAGAACTGTCCCTACGATCACGGTTCTGTTTCAGATGCGATTATTGAAGTTCAAAGGCACATAATGATTCAATATCCATGCGCACAACTTGGTGCATGTCGATGGAGAAGATGTTTCTTTGGTCACCATTGTCAACTCGCAGGCTGTGGGTCCACAGGTATACATCGGTGCCGATTTGACCCACCTTCGCATATCTCGGTTCCTCAGGACCTCCAAACTTTCGAGTGGGTGATTGCGACTGGATGCTAAGGAGCATAGTTCTAGGGCATGTCTACTTTGCATTTCTTCTAGAGAGGGTTTGCACTGTGGGCTTTATTTCTACAGCTGCTGTCTCTTCTACTATCATCATGTGATGCTATGGATTTGGAAGTGCTTTTTTCTAACATTTCAACGGCCTCGATGCCATTTTTGCATCGGTGTCTTTTAATATGGCAATCCTACTGAATCGATAGTCTCAAACATGCTGCCCTATACATAGGCATATCTAGCATACTCTTGTTGCAATTCTTCGGAGGAGCAATAAGTATTCTCGGTGAGATCAGCTAATCGGAACAGACTCAGAAGTGTTGCATCTCTACGAGGCTCACGGCAAGGCTGTGTGCAAAACCCCCTACACTATCAACATCGAAAAAGGTCACCCTGGTCGAGCATACCTACCTATGGTCAGCAGCAAGGTAAGGGTGGACTGGACGAGCATCGGGCGTGTCCGAATTAATTCCAGTATATAGATCTCACGCTTTCTCTCTGCGCCAGTTCGCCCTGTGAGATCGTCCTCATGTCTAGCAACAGCCTTTGCAGCTAACGCGGCAGCTAGCTTTCATAACATCGCCTGTGTTCTTACTGATCCGGTCTAACAGTACCATGGCTGCTGCAGCGAATGCTATGAGCAGCCAGAGCGTGTACATGAAGCATAGTATACAAAGCATCCAGGCTTGGGGAGTACATGGACCGTCAGGCAGATGGGGGATAGAATCCACGAGTGTGTCGGCCACTTGAACGGGATTCAACCATCTCTAGCATAGAGGTATTATTTCCTGCCTTTTCTAGCGCGGTGTCTGTGGCAGGCTATTGTTCACATCGGACGTGGATCTTGCGACAGCTCATCATCTATAGGCGGGGCTTCTAGAGTAGATCGTTCCCATGGCCCTTTAGGGCTGAGAGGAGGTAGACGTTGCTCAACCTCAGTGGCGATGGAGGGTTCTTCTGGAGGAAAGTAGGTTGGTGGAGGCTCGTTAATGTCAGCGGGGCAGAGGCGTCGCGGTGGAATAGCAGTGAACGAATTGCTCCACGCGTTGCGCAGCTCGAGCGGAATGGTTTTGGTTCCACTGTTGAGCTACCCTCGATGCCTTTTTTTCTTCAATAGACGCGTATTTTCAAGGTCGACCCGTTTTGGGGTTTGGGGGATTAGGGGGTGGCTGATCCATCACAAGCGATGTAATAAAAACTTTCTTCAGTATATTGACTGGATGACAAGGATTAATATTGCGTCGCAGAGAAAGGCACAATAGGGCGCTATGAGGATGTCTGTCAGCTTTACCTTCAGATCTTATCACTTTATGGAGACGTGTGTCCCAAATAAAGTGATGTGATAGCCATCATCCAAAAGAGTTTAGTTTGAAGTATTTAGATCGAAACGGGCTTAGTTTTGAGGACAAAAACTGTGATTAGGTAATCATTCACCCAACTCGGCCAAGAAAGCCCAACTTCATCGCATGATATTACACGGACCGCATAAGTAATCATAATTATGGTAGAACGACCAGAAGAACCATCAGTCATTGTACTGGAATACAAAAGGTTATCTTCAAATCATTTGGTGGTGCTGCAATGTCAGGTCGACTATTCCCTCAACTCGGGCTACCGAGTAGCCTCAAGCCACGGGGAGCGCTCCGTCTTGTCATCGGTATCTGGCACAACCTGATCCTCTACCTCAGCAATCCTGTCCGCACAGAGAGAGGTGCATTGATCTGGGATCGAATCAACTCTGTTTTGCCCAAGTGCTGCGACTGCCGTATCCACCGCGCGACTTACTCGGGTGTCACGATAAAGTTCGCATTGTGAGACCCAAATAGGAATAATCGTTGGCACTTGACGGGTTGTAATAGGTTTAATCCAGTGGTTGCTGTGCCAGGGCATCTTCTTAGACGGCTCCTCGTTCATTTTAGATGCTTCTTTTAACAGCGTTCTTGTACGCTTATAGGACTCCGAGCTGTATAACGGAATCGCTTTCTGAGCAGCGATATGCGTTATGAACTGGTAATCTAGGGATCGGCCGGTCGCTAGGTATGAGAGTTGGAAGTGGTTCCATGTCTGGATCATATGGCTGAGCTTTGACGGCCTTTTCAAGGACTGTTGTCCGCTCAGCCATTGTTCTAGCAGTTGGATGGAGACAGTGGTGCCTTGCTAGATGAGCTGGTATGCTCTGTGGGAGCGCAACGAACTGGCAGCTCTTACAGACCCAGATCAGGTAAGTGAGGTTGTGCCAGTAGAGGTCCATGATTCTGCTGATTGCGAGATTGCTTTAAAAATTGGGACTCCAGTGGAATTCAGTTGGGTTCGGAGATAGAGAGTAATACTCTGGAATATCCTGGCGTCTAGAGGGCGAGAGCAGAGCCTGGAGAAGTCAAATATGAGAAATAGAGCCGCCTGCGCGTCTTACGCGCCGCGAATACCTAATCTTATGACCGATTTTTAGCGGCCGTGTTGGTTAAGGTCATCCGAAGCTTAGTTTGTAGTTCATTTATCAAATAGGGGCGTGAATCAGCTCGAACAGTAAGACCCTACAATGCTTCCCTTCTTTTCTACTGCACACCCGATTTGATGTCGTAGACCCCAAAGATAGCCTGCCATTGCTACTAAATGCTTGATCAAGAAGTGACGCCTCTTTCTAGAGGTCAAAGGGAGAAGAAACGCAGAGTAACAGGGATGTAAAGACTTCTTTATGTCAATTTTGAAGGATCAGGACAGCTTAATGAGTGTAAATAGTGGTCTGTTGTACCCGATATTTTCTGTTAGGCCTTCGCCCTTAGAGGGACCACTCAGTAAACAATTGGCATAATTATAGGCTTTTGGCTCTAATACTGGAACTTACATGAAATATCCGGAGGCTCATCTACGCCTGCTGTGGTACGATATGCAAAAGCGGGACTTTGGGGAATTGTGTGAGTACCAGAACACTTGAGCGAACTCGACGCTCACGGAGTGCAGCTTGTAGCTCCAGAAGAGAATTCTTTCGGATTGTTTCCGTTATCATTGATTCTAGAGGCCTTTAAATAAACGGATGAAACTGATAATATAGAGTAAGCAGCTACATCCTGTGTCCATATTTAAACTTTGTGATGACGTTAGTCTCCCAAATTACAGGGATTTGCATTCTCCGATTAAGGAATGATCGTCTTCCCAAAACCAGGACCTGAAAATGAAACCTTTCTCAGCCTCAAATGGTCAGGAGTCCATGTTGGTCCGCTAGTACGCAAACCATGATTGTCGGCAGCCAGCTGCAGCTTGACTCGTGATTTTGCACTTCGAATGTTTCCGCCACTGGTCTGAGTCATCGGTTCAGGAGTATTGGAGGCTTAGAGAGATCAATACGCACATGAAAGAAAATCGAGATTCCTTCTGGTAATGACGCATCTTACTTGAAGACGCATTGGACCTGTGATTTACGTACTATGTCGTGGACACACGCGGCAATCTATCACGATGAAAAAAGCAACTCCCACATAACTCTCATATCAAAAATACCCCTTCTGTTGCGGGACTATTGGCTGGTCACATTTGTGTCCTCATGGCGCGGATTGAATGCATCCTTTGAGTTCGTATAGAAGCCGCCAGTAAGGCAGAAGTGCTGCTTAAGGCTCGATGAGGGGCAATAGAGTCGTTGAAGCGTTAGTATTTCAACAAAACGGACTTCTGACGAGCCGGAGAAGAACCTAGCTGGGTCCCCGGAACCGGCAGCAATGCCCAGCAACTACTAAGGATCAGAACATGTAAGGGCAATGGAGCTTGGTTCACGTACCTTTGCTAAGGAAATACAACTAGTGGCAGTCGCCACCTGTGCTTCACTTCCGCACCATGTGTAGTTAGGACTCTTGTTCTCGCTTCAGTTAACCACTTCTTTGTGACAAGCTGCTATGTAGCTTATCGATCAAATACGCCAGGACAGTCGGGCACTGAGTGATGTAAGGAGCAAATAATTCAGCCCAAGCAATTGCGGCTTGTTACTTACCATACGAGTTTCTGCCCAGCTCGTTTTATCGCGCGGCAAAAAAAGTCCCTCATCTTCTCTCAGCCGCTTGAACCGCCTTACCCAGCGACGACAGCTAGAGACACAAGAGTAATGCTAGAAAGGTTTTCAGCTATTAGATTAGTTTCAGACACAGACTGGTTCACTTAGTTCAGCGTTGGAATAGCACGCACCTAGACGGTGCTGGCGTTTCAAATTATATGCATCGTTAGCTCGCACTGAATAGGCACGTCCTAGGATTAACGGTAATTGGTGGGGCGACCGTTTACGCTGATATGTTACATCCTACAGTAACTCCTATTGAAATCGGTTCTTGTATCTGTCTTTTATTGTTTAACGTCCAGCTTCTGCTCATTTTACGCACGCACATAAAGGATGCAGACGACGTGAATCATGTTGCCACCATAAGTTTATTCGTGAGCTTTGGCCACGCGCACTGACCTGGCGATCAGTGCGTTACTTCCTTGCAGATCTGTTCTAGACTTCGCTGAGCGCCCGGGCACAGGCGGCTCCTCGAATTTCGTCATATGACACTCCTTTTATTTGTCCGAGGTTGAGACCCCGCATGCAGAGACTTCCAAATCTGGAGCACATACTATGACACAAGAGTTTCATACCGCACCATAGATATTACTATCTACAAATCCCGATTGTACTTTAAGAGACGATCTACCGTTATGGCGGTCGTGGTGTTGCTAAGCATGCAAAGCCTTCATGGTGCAAAAGTTGGCTCATTGTAAATGGGACAAACCATATAACCACACGACGGATTCTCTAACATGTAAATTTCTTAACGGACACTAACCTTTGGAAATTGCGGAAGAGATCTAAATATACCCCCAATTACGTCGCTGCCGGTCAAAGTTTGAAAATTATGCGTCGAGTTCGGAAAAAGATGCTGGTCTATGTACACTGAGGAGCTATTAATTGATCCGATAAGTCATTCGCTCTGAGTAACGGCGGTCTTCGGACTGAATACATTCAGTGCGCCGACGACATGGTATGACTCAACCTACTTGGATCTAGATTTAAGAAAAGTCAACAGAAGGAGACATAGTCCATATTGTGGTCCGCGTATGTAGTCATTAGAAACTTCACCGAGAAGATATTTCACTGTACATTAGTCCGTTCCGAATTATCGCATTGCCACAATCAACGACTTACACTCCTCTGGCATCCCACATCGCACTTTGTTCACCATGGTATGATATGCCCTCATGCAATTGAGACGAAACTGGCTTTCGAGAATAGGCGGCTGCCCTGGAGTCTTACTTTATTGAGACCCCACCCCTACTCCGTGCTAGCGGTTTTAGGGCATTTCTACCTATGCGTTGAGTTTAGCCTCGTACTTCCATGGCCCAGAAGTGATGAAAATCTCGAAATCTCTGTGCGGGATGCTCAATCATGTTGTTCGGGAACAGAGCCAACGCACGGATTACTCCCCGCGGGGTTATGCGTGTCGGCGAAGGGGAGAACGGATCTGCAAGAACGTGGCGTACAGATCGTCAGGTCAGTGCGCGGCTAAACTCCACTAGTGAGCGTAATGCGGTAACATGATTCATGTCGTCTGCCTTCCATGCCTGTCTCGGAAATAGGCAACTAGACGTCAAGCATCCGAGGCCGAGATGCATGAACGGCTCGAAGTAGAGTTACTGATGAACGCTTGCCCCTCCAATTACCGCTAATTCCAGGGTACCTGTTGAATGGTACCTTACGCTGAGCAACAGGAAGCTGTTTCGCTCTCTATGAGCGTGCAAATTTGAGCCCTGGAGTAGGTCAACAGCAGTACGCCTGACATCAATTTACTAGCGAAATGATTTTCCGGCATAACTTCCGCACTTCCAGGCATTGTGTCTCTCTACTTATTCGCTGGTGGAATAGATTGTTCGAATGAACGAGACAGAATGACGAACGAAGGACTTAGTCATCCCACGACAAATTGTGATAACGTTACGTAGAAAGTCTTATATAAACACATAAGTCGCGATTGCTTGTGCTAGAGCATTCGGTGTTCCTTGTACCCTTCTGTTCCTCATTTCCTTGATTCTTTGGAATCATAGATCTATGTAGCAGAATATTAATCACGAGGGCTAATATGAGAGAAGTAAAGAAGGCATTGATAGCAGATAGCGCTAAAACGAAGCATAGTGGCGGCCGCTACTAGCTGGCTTCCTTGCTCGAGCATAAGTACGCGGGCAATGCACTGCTCTCGCTGAATATTATGATTTCGATTTAAAAGTTTCAAGATACACAAATCTGATTCCTGCGTAGGGTAGAACGACCAGACACAGTGTACCCCTTCGCTTTGTGGTTCATTTAGTCATCTTTTGACAGCCTGCTATGTGAGCTAGCGCCGGGAGATCTTCGTGTGATAGCTAGAAAACTGTTCTATGCAATGCACGGCTTGATAGCCTGGTAACTAGTCGCCGCTATCTTGTGTGCGATGTTTGTCTATTGGCGGCATGGGAGCCAGCCACTAGCATTGCGCCCCCTTGTTACCGCCTGGGAACTAATTCAACCAATTTAGCCGCACGCTATGAACCTACTTCTACTAAATAGAGGTAGTGCAGTGAACTCCTGCAAGCCACTTCGTATTCCATGACAGAAACATATTACCTGGAGCTACCTTCCTCGTTATGATAAATGTGAATGCAAGTGGCTTCAATAGGAACGAAGGCCTCTCGATAGTCCTTAGTCGAATGGTAAAAGAGGCTTATTTATATTTACCAGTATAGTAAGCCAGCCGATAGAGTAATATATAATTTGCCCTAACGCCCTCCCAGCCTCCTTTTCGGCCCCTAAATAATTGCGGTGTTATTGCCGTATCACTCGAGATTTCACACTCATTTCCATTTTCAAGGCACCGTTTGCACTTCATCGACTCAGTGAGCCGACTCAACCTGTGCGATAAACCCGCTCTACGATCTCCAAGCTCAACTAACGTTCTTCGACTTTACAGCCAGTCGATTCGCTTAAATCGGTCTTTATTGGAAACCAGGGCAAAGGAGTTGTGCAGAAGTTGATAATAGCATCACCGACCAGCAGCATCTGCGTGTGAAAATCTACTGTAAGCATGTGCTTCCTGCTTTGTACGTAGGCCCACTTCTCGGAGGTTGACAACCTTGTCACTTCTAGGTACAGTCTTTATGAAAATGTACCACTTGAATTCACAGCAACGGCCCCCCACATTTGCTGAGCCAGACTCCCGCATGATACAGAAGCCCGTGAAAATGAAACAGACAAAGCGGCCACGGAGCAAACTGCCAATTTGGAAGCAACAGAAGGACGTGTGTCATTGGCAACCCTACTCCTTTCAGATTCATTATCCAAATTTTGACCAGTATGTACCTGGTTTGTATCCTTTCCCGCAAGGCTCTACATACGATAATGGCACCTTTCCAATCCAAGATTCAAAAGCGATGATTCATATCTATGAGAAGGCTTTCGCAAATCTTCAACAAACCAACTGCCGTGTCTTGGCCAAGGCGTATATCAAGATACTTGAGCCAAGAAAGCAAGTCAACTACCCATATAATGGACGAAAGTTAGTTGGAGGAAGAAAAGTCCAGTTTGATCCAGAGGCGACAAAGCCTCCCTGGTGGCCTTCTCTAGTGCGCCACCACGAGCCAGATCATCTCCCGAAAGTTGGTATGAGCACCTTCCACCGTTATTTCCCTATATGCAGCTAACCGCATAGAGCGTATTCGACTCCTCATCCACATCATCCGCGAGCTGCGCGAAAGCCATGGAATAACTGTGGATACACTCAGAGTGGCAGATCGGTCTATTCGAGATCAAATTCGACCAAGAAGCAAACTCCAATTCCTCGAGGAGGTCTACAATATAAGAGAAGCAGAAGAATGGTTGCTCACTGGACAGACAGGTAACACGTTGTTCAGCGTTATCATCATTCATGAGGCTAATTTCTTCCATATAGGCAAGCAACTGGTCAAACAGACTTCAAGTCCGGAAGTTTCGAACAAGGTAAGAAAACCTAGTACATCTGGACTTTCAGGGTGTACCGATATTGAACAAAACAAAATAAAGTCCGTGGATCATTTCGCCAGAGACTCGGCATATTTTTCTCATGTGGACAAGTCTTTTACCTCTTTCACACAATGTGGCACCCTGCAGCATCTCACTACGGGCCAAGACGAGAACTGCCAAGACCATAGGGAGTCTTTCCTCTACTCTCGTGAGCCTTCTATACCTTTCCATGCTACACCCCCACAGTGGGAGCCCGGGTCTATTGAGACGTCCTCAGTCATGGGAGCTACCTATTACACACCTCAGTTCTCTTATCGGTGTGAAAGTGCCAATGCTCTTGCCAAAAGTGAAACTCACAAAGCCGCCCACTATGTCCCGGCTTCTCGGCCACTAGTATACAACATGCCGGAAATAGGACGGCTCCCGCAATGGTGATATTGCGCTATTATGATAAGAGATATTGCAAATAGCGAGGGCGAGACAATGTTTCCTTGCTATTATCACCCATGTTTTCAAATGCGTAAACATTGCGGATCGGGGTTTTGACACGATGTATGTGGAACTGGCCTTGGCCTGCCCCGCAATCAAATATATGTTGAGTTAGCAAAACCATTCAAGGTAGAGCCACGAGGCGAGATGATAAGGGAAATTGAATTCTCTTATGCATTACACTCAAAGGTCCCAAGGCTATTAGTTTGTCGTGTTATATTACCTCGGCCTTTACCCAGATTAAATTATTGCTTCACAGGTACTACTAGCAGTCAGTATATTGCGCATGAGATTAGGTATGCTGATGATAGGCTGGCCAAGCTGTCTCAAATACAGACCTTTAGGATGTCTCTCTAGTCTGCTCGCGTTTTGTGATTGACTAAGTCATGCGTTTCTGCATATGATCGCCTTCCATTACACATTTTCCTAAAGGCAGAACAAGAGCGCCGCAGTATTAGTTTTATTGCTCTAGTTCGCTTCTCTCGATTACGTTTGTACTAGATTAGCAGCTTAAGGACAAAGCTGCTAGAGGCCTGCATTATCCGAGATTTAGATTGCAATCTAGCAGACTCCTTTTTGTGTCCGCCAAGCATAAGGTTTTGATTTCTCCTCTCCTTGCCGGATCTATTGATAATAGAGCCACAAAAACAGGATATTTGAAGGGCATAGATAACAATTTCAATAGTGAGATATTATACACGACCAAGTTGCGTCTTAGCAAGTGTAAGAATAGTGAGTCTCTTGATATAGGTAATACATCGTGTTTTGAGTAGTAAATATTTAGAGAATTTTACTATTCGCAGAAAGCTCATCAATCGAAATTTCCAAGCAGACGTTCGAAGCGAGGAAATTTAGAATTTGGACCTCTTAATGACCTGACCCCCAAATCTTTAAGCGGAGTACCCACAGCATGACGGCTTAGAGGGCGTCCTGACCGCCAATCTAGTAGATATTTGATCATGCTAGCCTGCTTGCGTAGTTGAGCTACCCTCCTAGACGTTTTTGGTGTGGATTGGCTAGATCTGCTGCTTAACTGGCCACTTAGTGGTGACGGAGTTCCTAGAGAGATATTAAGTTATAAAAGGACTCTTTCGGTATCAACTGGTAACACGCCACTAGCTATAGAGCTAATCTGAATAATAGACAATTTAAGAAGGCTTTTAGCCGTTCATGTTGGCTGTTTTCCGAGAAATCGTAGTTGCCGATATATTTTGTATCCCGTTACGCGCAGGATCGTTAATGAAACGGCTATATACCCTCTTAAGTAATTAAATGCAGCTAACATCTAGTAGTTATAGTAGATATAAAGAGTGTGGAGGCATATAAAGAGGTATGATATTGTTTTCTACGCAGACTCGGTCGAATTGAGCTGTAGGGCAGTTATTTTGAACGGCGAGGTTCAAGCGAAACCAGTCACGTATGCGCCAGTTCGTTGATACAATAAAGATCTTTTGTAGCTAGTATAAGCGAGCCTTATTTGTAGTCTAGCCATTATCTGAGACCTAAAATTGCCAGACTTTCGAAAGATTATCGAACCAACAAGCAATAGTAACCTTGCCTTTGAAAATCCCACATGGCGGTAGCGGAGAGCTATTTGCCTGAATTGCTTCGATCACATTGACCTATTGTGATTACCTGGCTATAGGAGACGTCTCCGGCTAAGATTTCCAGCATGCGTGACTACCTTCTGCGAATATGTAAGACTATTCGTAAAGCCCGTCTCATCAAGGTTGTAGATAACCTTCGGTTATATCCCGCTGTTGTTAATCGCTCTTTGCACTGTCGCAAACCAGGCTTGTAGGGCTGCGCATGGGTATTCGTATCGCACGGAGTTGCGTGTTCGAAAGTTCATCGGGACGTTTAACGAAGTTTAATAACCAATTCTCGCCAACCGTAGGCGGAGGGTAGCTACCGCACGCAGCCGGTGGGATATTAGCCATATCGCCCACAGTGGACAACCTAGGGGCTGCTCCACGCGTAAGCATAGAGATCATTCAATCGAAAGGCAAACAGTCTTCTATTTAGGTCAGTTCATGCCTAGGGTCACGTCTCTCTGCGATGAGATTACCTTGGATATACGAGTTTATAGGGTACTGCGTGGAAGTTCCTCTAGCTTTGTTGCTGCGCGAATAGATTTGTTTCGGGCATTTTTGATACTATTAAAGGCTAATTAGATCGTTCTCTCTTGAATGACTGATTTGTGGAAAGGTTCAGAGTGTATTGTTGACAAGGTAGTTGGGTTGAGATTGGTGGGTTGGTAGGTTGACGCCTTTTTCTGATAAGGTGCCAAGAATGACCCGGCGGATGGCCAGTAAATTAAATTAAATATCCATTATTAACCAGCACATTTCCGCTAGATGTTTGTACAATATGAGAATAGTGTACCCGAAACAACTTGATGGCGGCGAGGGAATTAGTAAACATGAGAAGACCGACTTTAAATTAGTAGATGTGCAGGTTTTTCTCTTCCAGGGCCGCAAAGTCATCTTAATGATCGAAGAATTAATGAAGGCATAGGTCAAGATTGTGTCTTTGTGAGCGTTGTACTTATTTCCTTGTCCATGCCAAAACATAGTAAGACGTGGTAAGGCGGTGGAAGACTTTCAGCGGTGAAAGATTTCAATTCCTCTTACTTTAGTTTAAGATGATTATATTCTTGCTGAGAGAATCCTAAAATGACACATAAGCCGAATTTCTTTTCTACCAGAGACTCACATTTTCCTCACTTATCACCCGGAGGTATTTGCGAAAGAAACCATTGAATAATTATTTGATTCTCGTGCTGTGGAGAATCGCATACATCTAAAAACAGACATATATTCCATAGCACCCAATGTCCGACAATCAAACCTCATCTCTAGGAGCCTCGGCAAGATACAGTAGCATCCGACAAATCAACAACCGGACCACCTGCTAAGAAAGTCCAAGTCTTGCGAGAGTCAAGCTGAGTATCCACATGCGAGCCTTCAATAATACACACTGTGCTCTGCTGGAAAGCAGTAAGCTGAGCACTCGTCGCATATATTCTGCCCCCTTCAGAGAGTACCGAGTGGCCCCAGTAATCTCTGACCCCGTATTTCTTGCCATTTCCGGGAATAGCCTCATTGATGTTGGCGCCAGATTGGTCGTTGGCAAGCTGGATGGTCACCGTCCGACCAGTGCGGCCGGGTTCTGCCGACGCAGAGACAAAGGGTAGGGTAAGACCAAATAAAGTGAGATTGATATGTCTCATTTTGAATAAAGGGGTAGGTGTTCGTGCGGTGAAATAAGATTGAAAATGTGAAATCTCACGGAATTCGTCGTTGACAGGATGTATGGTCACAGAATGTCTAAGGATATCTTCGTTTTACTTTATATAACGGACCAAAGGCGCCTCCGGGCAATTCTCTATCTGTAGTGATATCAGCGGAACTCAGTAGCTTTCTGCATGCAGACAAGCTCTCTCATTTCGTACCGGCTTCTTGAATACCTTCGCGCCATAGACCACCGTGGGTCAGCTGTAATGTGATGCACGATGCAACCTCAATGATACCTAAACGGGGTTAGACGGTGTAAATAGCACTGGAAGACTCATATATGAGAGGTCTATATGGTTTAGATCTTGCATTGAAACTGTATCAATTCATTGTCGCCTCATTCAGACTCATTTTTGCTTGATTTGTATGTTGTAAACCAGGTTGCGCTAGAATATACCAAAAAATGTAGAACTTGGACAGGAAATAGTGACCGAGCTGGGTTTCGATCTAGTTCACACTGTTACTTTTTCCTCTCGCAAGGTAAAGCCCAAATAGAAGATTCAACCAATCCCAGTCGACCTCGCTCTGGCTTTTTGCTTACCTCGGCAAATGTAAATCTGCAGCTTGATTCGAAACAAGTATTGTTCAAATCTCAAAATAGAACGGGGAAGTACTGCCCTGGAGTAGTGTGATCTTGGAACGTGAGAATTGGTTTGGAGGGGAAAACGGCAATGCTACGGTAACCGTGGCTAACTCGGATTCTTAGTCGATTGGTGGAATACGTAGCATATGGCGATTGGATTGGGTCTTATGAGAACCGGTCTGGGTGAAATCATTTCAAGTCACAACGGTGAAACTATAGTTCTAAGCCGACAATGAACCTCGTAGAGATGCACAACTTCTGAGCCTGTTTCTGCCAGCCAACGTTGCTGAGAATAGTTAATTATTGCTATGTCCCCAGAGAATTATGACAGTCGTCTGCTAGGTACGGTTGTCTATATTGTAACAGGTTGTACAGTATCAATCTACTTAGATTGTTTTTATGACATTGAGGACATCCCAGGGCTTTCTCATGACGAGATGGGACCTTTCCATAGATCGGAGCAATGTTGCGGCTCCCTTCAGTGAACTACTCGAAGGGAACAAATGGAATGGCTTAAAACAGGTTACACGGGAAGGAACTTGGTCAGTCCGGTGACCGTCCGGCTGTCATTCCTCGGTCTTTGGGCCGGCCATTCGGGGCGAAGCCTGTTTCGGCATACGTTAACGGCCAACAGTAAACTTCAATCTAGTCACTACCTTTTTCATCAACTCTCAATGGTCATGCTTCTTTATAGTAGTTCTCTATAAGGGCAATTTGGGCGATAATGCTGAGCTTTCAAAGGCGTGAATGATACAAGTGACTAATCAGCAGATAAATCCTCGCTGATATTTGGGCGCGGATGCAGCTGTATCTGGTTTCCCTATTTCCTTCAAAACAGGTCTATGACCATAAAGGGAAACCTAAGAAAATATGTGGTGACTTGCTTTCCCCTCTACATGTAAGTATGTATTGAGCTAACCCAAGAAAGAATTCTCTCTCTTTTGCAACTACAATTGATCTGTCTATGGTTTTTATTCGTAGAAATCGTTTTCGTTCATTAATATTGGAGACACTCCTACCATTGGATAAATGCTTAGTCTTGAAATCACTGAACTTTGTAAGCTGGGCAAATTTTAAACTAGGCCATCAAGCTAAAGTTAGAGTGAGGGCAAAATAGCTTTTATTATCATGTTGGGAATACGTGTCCCTAGAATTCTCTTCCCCATCTCTTATCACACTATATGTATTTTCACACTAATCCCTATTTAAGCAGCTGGTGTATTGAAATTGAAGCGTTACACAATCGCCTAGAGTTACTATTATACGCTTTTGTCCGTAGGACAAGCTTATATCCCTACCATTTTCTTCTTTTACTGCCGCACTCCGGCTGGAGGATCCTTTGTGAATGAGGACTTAACGAACTCTGAATTGCTAGATTTTCCCTGCCCTCTACTCGGTCATTGACCGTGGAGGATCTCGTAAATGACGGGAGACATCCACCAGCACGACTGACAAGCCAACGTACGGATAGTATCAAGCTAGTTTGATTATTTGAATTGCCTTTACTATCCCCTGCATTACGCTGGCGTTACGAATCAGACAAACTTTAGCTGCATATTTATGAATTTTTGCCTTCCATTTCCAGCTCTGGCGGCTCATATGTCTGATAAGCTTGATAAAGGCTCCATTGAAGGAGTTTCTGGATTTGGCCGGCCCACATTGCCATTCTTTTGAAGACCCCTTACGTGTTGAGTATCAATCAAAAGCCTGGCTTTTCTTGACTTTTCACCGATGACAGAGTATTCAGCCTGTTTCTCTCAACCCGGGAAATTCCATTATGATATTTGCTCACTGCCCATTGTTTGGCCAGTTCCCATAAGACCTAGAATCTAGAATGTGTTTCCTCTCATTCCAGTGGCCGAACATGGTCACATGAATGTCTGATTAAATACATCAAGTAGGTCGTCTGCTAGCCACGGTCAATTGACAGCCGTCATGTGTTGGTTGTTTTTGGCATGTATCCTGTACTTGCTTTCCGGAGGTATATCTTTGGCTATCTGGAGCTTTCCATGTCACGATATTTAAACTGGAATCAAAAATTCAACCACTCTCATTATTAGTATTAATTCATGCCGCGGACTTACCGCCGTGATTCTGGGGAGGCAGGGTACCGTCTGGATGGCCGACTGTCATTCCCCCAGTTACTTCTCATTTTGTCTTGCGTCATCCTTGAAAATAGCCTGCCAACAACGCTTGGAGACCGCAGGCTAATCCACGATCTCGTGACCCGGTATGACAGCGACTGGTATCCCTGCATTGGGTCAGAAGGGTTTGACGAGATGAAGAAAAAGGATTGGAGAATGGTGACACCAGCAGTACAGCAATTTTGGGAAACGATCCAGAGGTTTATGGTTCAGCAGAAACTGTGTGAACTGCATACATCATCTCAGACAGTACGCGAACATTTGTGCCACCTGCTCTGTTGGGTTGAACAAATATTGGCTCAGGGGTTAAATGCGCTATGTATCCCTAGGCCAAATATTCTGTCACCAATGGTCGATATCGACAGTAGAGCTAGATTAGCTCTTGTTTGCATGAGCCTTTCAGTTGCACTAGCGCCCTTTTTACATGGGTGTCGGATTTAGCAACTGGGCGAACGCGAAGTAGACGAGATGCATTTATATCTGCAAGAATCGCCTCTCTTCTCCTCCGGCATTTCATCCCAGCAACTTTTATCGGCATTATTCTCTTTAGAGCTGTTATTCTCTGGAGAAGACGACACTGCTCACCTATCTGCCAATCAGTCCTGGAGTTCACAATGGGATCAAAGGAGGACGGAGACACGGGAGACAATTCCCAAGACGGCCATTATGAATCGGTAATCATCATCATATCCAGGCATCGCTTGTAGTTACTGATTTCTCCGGCAGATAAACTACACAGAGATTGTTGTACGGATCAGTGAAACTGAACCCACCCTGCTTTTCGCAGATCCTAGCATTCGAGAAACATGCCTTATAAATATACGGCAAGGCTCATTTTACGACTATTAAGGCATTTCTAGGTGAACGGTTATTCATTAGGCCCCGCATGCGACGCTTCTCAACTTTGTGGTGTGACAGAAAACGTTCTGCATAGCTAGAGGACTATCAAGAAAATTGGCATCGTTATCAACATCTGGGCCAGAGATAGGGGAGATTGAAATACTACGGGGTCCCAAATCCTTATTTATACAAACTTGGTTCAAGAAAGAATTCAAAGTCCGGTGGACGGTGTCGTTATGCAGATGTCACTGTCCTGAGTGTCTTTGAGCTGGGCTTATTAGCAATAAGATAGTTATTGCACTGGTCAATCTGTAAGGTCTTGAAAAAATCTATCTAGTCTCCTGTTGAAGCATGGCTGTGAAGCTGTTATCGCTAGGTTGCTGCTCGAAATTTCACAATGTGGACAAAAATTGCTCGTATATCTATCCTAGAAGTGTCGCTTGTTGCTGGGCCATTAGGAACCTGGATAAGTATATCTTCGTTCTACGACTTACAACTAGCCACATCTACGCAAAAAATCTGCGAATCGTGCTCCCATCCCGCCCCCCACTTGCGAGGCGAGTGCACCAAATGAATCAGCCCATCTGAGAATCAGCTTTGGTGACAAATTGCAAAGAAGCTAGATTTTAATTAGCTGTGAAATAATACAAAGCGAATGGAACAAAGCATGTGTTATATTGATGATACATTTAGATAGAACTTGACGTAGCTTTTTATTAGGAATGACATCCGAAGATTTTCCGGCCACGCCTGCGTCATCGTTCATCAACTGTACAGTAGTATAACGTTACGCGGAGCGGACTGGTCACTGTGAGTTAGAACGTCCCAGGGTTATACGATGCCAGCTCCACTACGGACCCCATGAGTATCTGGCAACAGTACCATTGCTATGTTAAGCCTCACTGCGGGTTCGGGCCCTGTTGAGTATCTTAGAGGATGTTCCAGAAGTGCGCGCCAAGGAAGCCACTCACTATGTGTTATTATGAAGTGAGCTCTCCTACTTGTAGGTTGCATTGTCTTATTTGGGAACTGTGGGGTGCAAATTACTAGATGCAGTAGACGTACACCGTGGCCATTTAGCTGAGTTATAAATTACGCTATGACATTTTGAGGGGTATGTACATCCGTAGACGAATTTCAATTGGTCGGCATGGGAGTTGTCCAATACCAGCCATGTTATGTCTGCCATAACTACGCTCCCTTGGATTCTATGCCACCATCGAGCTTCTATGCAATCTTTGTCAAGGCTGAGTAAGAAGTCGGATTCGTTCGAGGTGTCAGTCACATTCAATGGGACTTTCAGGTTCCTGAAGTAATCTACTCCCGAAACATCACAAACAATGAGGTTGTCATGTGACCGCAAGTAAGC